GCCCCTCTCCAGGCCACACCCAGAGACCATCCCAGCCACGGGCTCAGCCCCAGGCAGGACCCGGAGCCCTGCTCCCTCCGCCAGGAGCGGCCAACTGCCCGCCCACCCGCCCCGGGCACGCCTGGCTGAGGCCTCGGGGGACCTGCTCCTGTGGGCACCACTGGTCTCCTGCCTTCCACCGGAGGCTCAGCCGCGCCCGGACGCACCACCACGTTCCCCCGCCCTCGTGCTGGTCGCTTGGGGTTTTCTGCTTTGAGGAGCGCAGAGCAGTCTTTGTGGAGACCCACCTGCACGGGGGGTGGGCAGGACTCAGGGCCAGTTCCACGCCCCCACCCCCACCCCCACGGCCCCCACCCGGGATGTCAAAACAGGACCAGCTGCCACTGGTGTCTTCGACTGTGAGCGTCACCAACGCCCTAAACTTTAGGTTCTCAACCTGTGGGTCGCGAGCAATGAAAATACATCCTGCATATCAGATATCCACGTGACGATTCATAACAGTAGCACATTACAGCGATGAAGTAGCGACGAAAATAACGTTATGGCTGGGGGTCCCCACAGCACGAGGAGCTGTGTTAAAGGGCCGCGGCGTCAGGAAGGGTGAGAACCGCTGGGACACAGGCAAGCCCTTTCCCCGTTTTGAAACGTAGCCATGAAATCGGTGGACACGTGTGAAATCTCAGCGTGGCGAGGGCGACCATAGGCCTCCCCCCAAAGCCAGAGACCGGGGAGAAAACCTGGTCGCCGTGGCTCCAAAACCAATTTAAAACTTGCACGTCGCAAAGAAAACAAGCAAAAAGCTAAACCCTACCCTAGCCGGTGTGGCCCAATGGGTAGAGTCCCGGGTTTGATTCCAGTCCAGGGCACAGGCCTGGGTTGCGGGCTCCATCCCCAGCAGGGGGCGTGCAGGAGGCAGCCGATCCATGATGCTCTCTCATCATTGTGTTTCAATCTCTCTCTCCCGCTCCCTTCCTCTCTGACACCCACTAAAAAAGTAAAAAGTAAACAAGACAAGACTAATGTTCTAAAAATAAAGAAAAAGCTAAACCCCAGTGGAAAGACGAAATAAAGGTTAGCGCACCAGCACATGGTGGAGACGGACTCAAACCCCCAACAGAGGAAGCTCTGGGAGAAGGAAAAGTCACACGGAAGAAAAAGGAAGAAAAGGAAAAACACACTACGAACGTGGACGGGCAAGTTTCCAAACGGCCGACGACGAGAGGCAACGGGTACAGCTCACAGCAGCCGAGTGAGGAGCCCTGACCGGCCGGGCTCCTCGGTGAGGGCGTCAGCCCAGGCACCCGGGGGTCGCAGGTTCCATTCCAGGTCAAGGGCACGCACCTGGGCTGCAGGTTCCATCCCCGCACGTGCGGGAGGCAACCAACTGATGTGTCTCGCGGGTAGATGTTCCTCTCTCTCTCCCCCTCCCTCCCTCCCCTCCATTCTCTCTAAAAATCGCTGGAAAAAGATCTCCTCGGGCGAGGATTAACAAAAACGAAATAAAAAAGCGTGTGATGAAAAGGCTGTCTTGCCCGGGAGGCTGCCGGGGAGGGCAGGCCCGGCCAGTGCAGGACGCTCACCCTCCGTGGCCGGCGGCGCCTGGGCGGCACTTTGGCAAAACGCATCGTAGCCTTTGGCCCCGGGTCTTTCCTAGGCACCGACCCTGAGGACATACTCAGGTGCCGTGTTATCAAAGGCCACCAGTGGAAAGACGAAAAGCACTACTCCACCACCAGGGAAGCACACGCGGAAAGATTACAGTCTGTATCTCCGGACTGTTAGCACGCCATGAGGCACCTCCCCCAGATCCTGGGTAATGACTATGACTCCTTCTTCGGGGAAGGGAGTATCCTTTTTGGTTTGTCTTTATTTTGGGGGTTTTGTAGTTGTTGTTTACTTTGTTCCCTCATTTTTTCAGTTGATGTTTACAGAGCGGAAGGGAGAGGGGAAAAGAGAAGCACCAATGAGCAGCACATCCATCGGCCGCCTCCCACACGCCCCCCTCCCACACGCCCCCCCTCCTGGGGATCAAGCCTGAAACCTAAGCATAGGCCCCGACTCGGAATCGAACCCGCAACCTTCTGGTGCACAGGACGAAGCCCAGACCACTGAGCCACGCCAGCCAGGCAAGAATAGGGCTCTCATAATGAGAAAGCATTGTTTGTGAAAACAGCTCACTGAAGCATAAAACCGTGTTTCATGGGTTTCCTGACCCTTGGCCGCCACAGTTCCCGGACGGCTGGAGACCAGAAATACCCCTTCCCCGGCCGGGAAAAGCCACTGGTTTTATTTTCCCAAACGCTGGCATTTTCAACACGGGGAACGGACGCCCCGTTTACCCCCAAATCCCCCGTGTCGGCCGCAGAGGCAGCTGGAAGGATGGACAGACGGACGGAGAAGTGACGTGGCAGTCGTGCTCCCGTCCTGCCTGTGCACAGTGGGGCTCATCCCCACGGCCCTGGCACCCTGCGCAGCACCCGCGACGCCGCAGGCCGTGGGCGAAGGTCTGATTGTTTGAGAAATAAAACTTGGAAAGCGTCCAAGCCTCCGTTCAGTGACAGAACCCGAGGGTCCCTCCCGCTCCCCATCGGGCCAGCTGTGGGGACAGGAGGCGTGGGGTGTGGCACCAGGCCCCCCACTCCCTCCGCCAGTGCCCACACACGCTCAGGGGCCCTGTGGCCAGTTCCTCCCTTCCTCCCTTCCTCTATTGATTTCAGAGAGGAAGGGAGAGAGAAACTCCAATGATGAGAGAGAATCTTTGATGGGCCGCCTCCTGCACACCCCAAGGGGGATGGAGCCGGCACCCCGGGCCTGTGACCGGATCCATAGGTCGCAGCTCAACCACTGAGCCACACCGGCTGGGCCGAGGGCCAGTTCTTGAGTGACCGCGGGCAGCTTCAGTGAGACACTGGCTGGAACCTGCCGGCCTAGCTTCCTGGGCCATGACCCGGAGGAAGGCCGGGCGGCCGGCTGGATGGAGGGCCGGCCCT